GAGCCGTCTTAGACAATTTCTTAGATTTACGGAGGGATCAGCTAAAAGTCATCTATTCCGTAAGCAAGTTCGGGCAAGTTATATAAGCTACGTAAGACAAAATATGTGAAAATAAAATATAATACAGAAGTCATAAAACATAAAATAATAATGTCCAAATGCAAAAATACTACGTAAAAAATATTTTTAAAAATAATAATATACACATAATTGAAGACGTCTTGAATCTGTTAGAACATAAAATCATTATCATTACAAATAGTGCTCTAATTAAAAAGTATTGCTCTCGTACAAAAAAAAAATGAAAATTATATATTACGAGACAGCAAAAATTATGGATAAACTTTTGAATAGATTTAAGGAAACTCAATAAAGTAGAAGATCTTGGTTGAAAATATTTGAAAGGTTGAAAAATCATTCGACAGGATCAAAAGCATGCAGATCACAGAGACGATCGCTATGGCTATGGAACAACGGCTGCCAGAGATTGACTTTTATATGAGTTTACATCGTACTGGAGCCGGGAAAGAGGAAAAGGCGCATGAAAGATACAAAAGGCGAGCACGTAAATTAAACTTTGCAATATTCCGAAAGAGATCCGAAAAGTGACGCGAGTTTGAATTGGATCGCCAAAGAAGTTTGAAGATATCTATTTTAAATAATAGACGCAATATTGCGCAATGTGCATATCTTATAAATTTATACTGATTTATACGATACCTTGACGAAATAATAATGAATAGTATAATAAATAATAATAAGTAATAAAAAAATATATTAAAATATATACATATATATATATAAAATAATTATAAATTAAAAAAGATTTGCAGAATTTTCTTCAAAATTTTATTTCTTCTTTTTCAGAAAGAATTAGAAAAAATTATCGCAAATAAGAAAGAGTAAACAAATTCTCGAAAAAAATGTTTCAGATATTAATATTAATGTTCAATTAATAAATGTTTCAGATAATAATATTTCAAATTTCTAGATTTAATCTTTTACTTTTATATTATATGTACATGCATACATATTATATACGGATCATTTAAATATACGTATGTTACACAGGAATATAATTATATAAATTAAGAGGTATTAATGACTCCACATACATACATAACTCGGCATGAATTATTAATTTGAAATCGTATGACTCACTGTACCGTTGAAATCCTGCGATTCAACTTCCTATACAAATCCGCCATGATTCCGCTATATTGAACGTCGTGATCCCGCTATACTGAACATCACGATTCCCGTAATCTGTAAAAGGCATTTCCGACAAATTATATCTACCTGCGCATCGAATTATGCTTTCTCTTCGCAAAACACGTTACTGTCAAAATATTCGCATTTCGAGAAATAATATAATCGAATGTTTATATAAACAACGACAGCAAAGATTTGCAGAACTTCTGAAAAAGGTAGCTTTTCGAAGGCAACATGTCTCGAAGAGAAAGCACGCGATTTATATTTGTACATTACGTGCGAAAAGGAAATCTCCATTCCCCCCGGTTTACCCAAATACCTTATTTCAATCCGAATCCAAATTCGCTACGAATAGACAGGATATTGGAAGAAAATGTCGATTTATGAGGCTGGCTTATCTCCACGTTGTGAACCGCAACAATCCATTCGTCCGACTCGCGCGAAAATCCGAAATTGAATTACGATAATGTCTAGTTTCACCGCGAGCGGCGCCACAAGCAATAACGAATTATTCGGACGTGACGAGATTCAAAGTCCAGTCGATAAGAAAAGTAATCACTTTATCGATTATCGATAATTCCTGTTTTATTGATTATCAGCAATTCTCATTTTATGAATTATCACTTACCGACTTAAAATATCGCAAGAAGTTTTGTTTTCCAGATATTAAAAATTATAAGATACATGAAAAAAAGAGATGTTAAAATGTGTTTTTTTCCAAATATATTTTTAAATATTGTTAATGAAATTTTTTGCCGATTGGAAAAATATTCTTTTTTCAGCTATGCATATATTTATGTTTGCATAATAATAATAGTTTTATTTTAGATTAACTGAAGGAGTTACGTGATACATATTAAGCAAATATATGAACAGTATATGTATATATACATAATATATGCGTTGTATTATCGCGAGCGAGAGAATCCGACAAATGATTGAAAATAGGCTCAAATGTTTACCATGTAATTTGTGTCTCACTATCTACACATACGTGGCAAACGGAGTATAAACATATGAGAGAGAGAAGAATTACAACGCATTTTAAAGAAGAAAAATTTACGTGACATTATTATTATTATTCATATAGCTGTAATGCGTATGAATAATGCATAAAGCATAAAAATTGAAATCTTATTTACGGTTGCATATAAATAATGCATGAAACATTAACATTTTATTTATATAATTGTCAGGAAACTCCAATCGAGTATTAATTATTATTTATGTTACTGGATCCGAATTATGTATATTTTAATGAAAATCATTTACACAAATGAAACTCTGACTTGATATATTTTTATACTGTGAAATACATGACAATATATATATATATTGTCTTATATAACGCAAGAATTAAAAGAAACTGTATAAAGTGTAAGAGAGAAAACATATATATATACTGTATGGCAAATTATCCCGTTATTATCGTCATTATCATTATTGACCCGTATTAAGCATACAAAAATATTATGTTCCAGCTATACTTTGCGTGAATGATATATTTAACTTAATCTAATTTTAAATATTACGTTTTCAATAACTAGCGGTTTAACGATGATGGTAGACCTCCATGGTCAATCTCGAACCTTGCTCTTTTTATCTTGAACAATAAAGAGACACGTGCTACATGGCGTATATGTTTTATATATATATATTCGTCAAATGAGATTATCGATCTGCTATTAGTATACTCAGAGTTGACAATAGTCTCTATTATCTATACTTATCTATTAAATATCTTACGATCAAAGGCTGAAATTTCGCAATAGTATTATTGTTTATATCAAGAACACTAGGTATATATACACAGATAATGGACAAGAATTGGAAAGAGACAATATCTGTTATATTATATATATTTTATTCTGTTTTGTATGTGCATCCGATGTTTCTTTTTTAAAGCATCCGAAAAGAATGATTCAGCCGCTTACTCATTGTCTCCGACTAAATTTATCAAGGGAGGGGAGAAACTAAGCGTGCCGTGGCTCTAAATTTGACAATCATCCGTACAACAGCTGTTGCGTCGACGCCGCACGGCAATCAGCTGTTATGACGTGCGTCGCGCACACGCGATCTAGGAACTTTGGTAGCGCATGCGCGTCGCGACGAACGCATCACGTCCGCGACGCGCGACAATTCAAAGGATTTCCGCTCGCGATGCGTTCCGGAAATGTCGATGAAATCCTCGAAATTGTTCGCACCTCTATTCTGCACGGAGACGAGAATGTACGTGTAAATCGATCGTAACTAAATGCAGTTATAACATCGGCAATCGCGCGACGTTTCATTGAAGAGCTCATCGATAAAGTTTCAGAGTTTGCGCAACGATTATGATTCGCAGCGATCGTGAATGCGCGTGACATTTCTCCTTTTCGCCAGTGTTTTAAAACCTTACAGAAAGTTAACAACGAAAGAAATCCGACTCGCGAGCAAGGAATCACGAATGTAAGAAGGCGAAGTGAGAGAGCGAACGTCACACATGATATCCTGCGAGAATTTTCTCTCACGTGGGTTGCGGGAACGGCCAAGTGTATCAAGCAAGCGAACGTGTCGAACGTCGGGAGTAAGACGAGAGTAGCGTGGAGAGGGAGGGTACAGAGCGTACGCAGACGTGAGAAGGACGGAAGGTGGCGAGAGGGAGAGCGAAACAAACGAGTCAGTGAGTGCGAAACACGAACAGCAGTGCGCGGAGCACAGCTTTATCTGTGTTGTCTCTCGTTGTTGTCCGCATTATGCGCCGTTGAGTGAATTGTCAAGTGAAATCAGAAATGGCTGCCAACGAGCAACAACGTAAGGTGAGTGAGCGACGCGGGGACCGGGGACGGCGCGGATTCTTTCCGCCGGCGGAAACATCGGCGCGGAAAAACATGGGCCGCACTTTGTCGATTCCACGGGACGAAACGTGCGCGCGCGGCGCGTCGCTTTTGTGTCAAAAGTCACGGTTGATCCATCTGTGCTACCTCTTGTCTTATATTACATATACGTATATATATATATATATATATGTATACATACATCGTGCGCGATATCGACGAGTGACGACAAAGATAGGGACGACGACGAGTGCGTGATTCGTTCACGCGTAGACGTGAACGGCGCACGATCCCCGGGATAACGCGGAGGCACGGATGTCCCCCGCGCGCGCCGCATTCCCGGATAATCGCTCGTCTTCATTCAAAGATCGCGCAGTCGGTCGTCTGTATTTACTTCGGTCAGCCGAGCAGCTGTCAGTGCGCGAAATCGTCGATGTGATAGGCACAAAGATGTACGACGATCACGATGACGATGTGAGTGTTGTATTAGCTTCCCGATAAGCTTCAGGAGCTTTCCGCGACGGGGAGAATCTTCGCAACGTCTTTTCTTTTTTTTTTTTGGAAATGTCGATGAAATCCTCGAAATTGTTCGCACCTCTATTCTGCACGGAGACGAGAATGTACGTGTAAATCGATCGTAACTAAATGCAGTTATAACATCGGCAATCGCGCGACGTTTCATTGAAGAGCTCATCGATAAAGTTTCAGAGTTTGCGCAACGATTATGATTCGCAGCGATCGTGAATGCGCGTGACATTTCTCCTTTTCGCCAGCGTTTTAAAACCTTACAGAAAGTTAACAACGAAAGAAATCCGACTCGCGAGCAAGGAATCACGAATGTAAGAAGGCGAAGTGAGAGAGCGAACGTCACACATGATATCCTGCGAGAATTTTCTCTCACGTGGGTTGCGGGAACGGCCAAGTGTATCAAGCAAGCGAACGTGTCGAACGTCGGGAGTAAGACGAGAGTAGCGTGGAGAGGGAGGGTACAGAGCGCACGCAGACGTGAGAAGGACGGAAGGTGGCGAGAGGGAGAGCGAAACAAACGAGTCAGTGAGTGCGAAACACGAACAGCAGTGCGCGGAGCACAGCTTTATCTGTGTTGTCTCTCGTTGTTGTCCGCATTATGCGCCGTTGAGTGAATTGTCAAGTGAAATCAGAAATGGCTGCCAACGAGCAACAACGTAAGGTGAGTGAGCGACGCGGGGACCGGGGACGGCGCGGATTCTTTCCGCCGGCGGAAACATCGGCGCGGAAAAACATGGGCCGCACTTTGTCGATTCCACGGGACGAAACGTGCGCGCGCGGCGCGTCGCTTTTGTGTCAAAAGTCACGGTTGATCCATCTGTGCTACCTCTTGTCTTATATTACATATACGTATATATATATATATATATATGTATACATACATCGTGCGCGATATCGACGAGTGACGACAAAGATAGGGACGACGACGAGTGCGTGATTCGTTCACGCGTAGACGTGAACGGCGCACGATCCCCGGGATAACGCGGAGGCACGGATGTCCCCCGCGCGCGCCGCATTCCCGGATAATCGCTCGTCTTCATTCAAAGATCGCGCAGTCGGTCGTCTGTATTTACTTCGGTCAGCCGAGCAGCTGTCAGTGCGCGAAATCGTCGATGTGATAGGCACAAAGATGTACGACGATCACGATGACGATGTGAGTGTTGTGTTAGCTTCCCGATAAGCTTCAGGAGCTTTCCGCGACGGGGAGAATCTTCGCAACGTCTTTTCTTTTTTTTTTAATTTTCTTATCCATGCCCACTCGCGGAGACACCCCGTGAATTTTGCTGACGATGCAATCAAAGCGCAGCGCTGTATGTACACTCGGCAACATGAATGCCAAATTGATGCACATATCGGAGCCTATATGCATTTTCCATTTATGCGTTTAAATTCATGTGTTAATGTTAAGGTATATTCCCGTCACCGTTTGTATATGCAATATAGCGTTCAGCTTAAACCGCAACATGACAGCTCCTGAACGCTGCGGATTCTCGTCGAACGGGTTCGCATCTGTCTTCCTTCTTTCTTTTTATCTACTTCTTGATTCTTCGTGTGAAAAACCTGGCACAAAGAAACGTGCTTTTCTGAGAATATTCTGGAGTTTGCGAGCGATTTTATTCGACGTAACATATGTGACAGTTGTCTTTATCATCGAGATCGTTCCTCGGTGACGTTACCTCATCGGAAATTAGATCATAAAGAACGATCGGTTTCGAAAGAGAGAGAAAGAAAGAAAGAAAGACGCATCGATCGAGAATCACGCGAGCTATAATTCACTTTCCGTTTGCCATGCTCGGGATCTCCTCTTTCGTTTCGCGGAAGTCCCGTTTGATAATTGAGAAAAACTCCCGTCGTCCCCAGCACGAACATATATATCGCGTCTTGTATCTCGTCGGTCGATAAGCGTTAATGTTTTTTTGAGTTTACGGCATCGCAATTCGATTGCACGGCACGTAACGAACGGCCGATCTCCGTTTGCGTTTCGTCGAGCGTTAATTGTCGCACGCTGCATCGTCGTGAACAGAACGCATTCCCTGTCACAAAACATCATGTCATCGCGCGACAACGCGATGATTTGCACGAGAGGACTCGCATACGCGAGAAGAGTCACGCGGATTCTTTCGATCGAATAATCCGCGGACGGGATGTCGTAATCTTTTTTCCTGCCCGTTCACAGGCGCATTTTGTTATCCACATTGAGACATATGTTGCAATTATATGCGTGATCCATTTTGTGCGCTCAGGACTAGTTTTTTCTTTCGTGCGCGTAGCGGACTTTCTCATTTATTTTTATCAACGTGCGTTTTATGCATTCTCAATTACATTTTCTCTCATCAGTCGATCGGCTAAATCTCGTAAGATATGGATCGATATCAAGCGTAAAAGTTTAAACAGGCGATATGTACGAGTCGTGTAATGAAAGGCTGTTTCACTTTAAGGTTTCACCAATATAGCAACATGGCTACTTATGGCTATGATGTAAAACTTGATGATACCACGGATATTTCCTAATACAGGGGAAAGAGAGAGAGAGAGAGAGAGAGAGAGAGAGAGAGAAAGACATTTTTGTTGTTTATCGAAACTTGTAAAACATGTTGCTTAGAATATCCTCTGATTTGTATATATAAATAATTGATTAAAGATTCATGTTAAAAGTTGCTGATCGATACAAACTAAAATTTATTTATATGACGTAAATATTAATTGCAATTAGAGAAAAATAAAAGTAAATCAAGATTGTGAAGCTAGATTTCTTGTTGTAATTTTTTTTAAATCTGTGTTAAAAATAACAGATTTTTTCTTTCATATAATCTTTACTTTAACAATAAGTATAGAATAAATACTAATATTTGTAAAAGAAAAGATATGTAAAAATAAATGTTCTTATATATTTATTATAATATATTTATTCATGTATATACTAAATATACATATGTGCCCATGAACCACACCCATTTGAAAGAAAAAT